TTTTTTTTTTTTTTTTTTTTTTTTTTTTTTTTTTTCCCGAAATTTTGGGGTTTTTCCCGGCGTTTTGGGGTTTGCACTTCCCAATCCCTGCCGGCATTCCCGCTCCCATGGGGGGATCCCAAGAAGGAGGAGGAGGAGGAGGTTTGACCCTCCAATTCCATCCCGGAGATTTTTGGTTTTTTTGGGTTTTTTTTGGGATGTCACATCCCGAATTCCCGGCTGGCGGTGGCGTCTCCGCGCGCCGTTCATCCCGGGAAAAACGATTTGGGAAAGGCTCCAAGTTTGGAATCTGATCTCCCGTTTATCCCGGGAAAAGAAAAGCAATTTGGGAAAGGCTCCAGCGCCGAGAATCTGGAAAAAAAAAAAAAATCCCAAACCTCGGGGGCGTTTTTTTGGGGGGAAAAGGGGGAAACTGAGGCACGCGCGGCGGAGGGAATTCCCTAATCCCCGCTTTTCCCGGAGATTTGGGATGAGGGAATGCCCGTTCCAGGCCCTGGCGCTGCCGCTGGCTCCTCCCCGCCAGTGTCGCGGCCACCTCGGGGCCACCAAGGGGCCACCAAGGGGCCACCAAGGGGCCACCACTGTCCCCGCAATGGGATGGGAATATGGGACTGAACTGGAGCCTTCCCATTCCCGCAGAATTCCCGGACGATGCCCCCCGGCCGCTGAAACTGGGGACAGCGACATCGCCGCACGGCGCCGGGGACAGATGGCGACAGCCGGCAAGGGTGAGTCCCCTGTGCCCTCCCTGTGCCCGGATCCCGGGATTTGGGGCTTTCCCGGAGCTTTTGGGGTCCCTTCTGTCGCTGTCTCTCTCCAGGGATTTGAGGGACCCCAAAAGTTTTTTTGGGGATTTGTCTCTGGGGTGAGACAAATCCCCAAAGCACTTTTGGGGAATCTTTGTGGGATTCTGCTCCGGAAATTTCCCTGTGGAATGAGGCCGGGAGAGCCCCAGGAGATTCCCAGGAAAAAAAAAGGAGTTGGGGGCATCTTGGAGGTGACCGTGAGGCCCCTGGGGGGATGCGGTGACCCCAAGGGTCCTGCAGGTTCTGATCCCAGAAATCCCAGATCCAGGGGATTCCCTGATCCCACAAATCCCAGATCCCAGAAATCCCAGATTCCTGAAATCCCAGATTCCTTAAATCCCAGATCCTGTAAATCCCTGATCCTGTAAATCCCAGATCCTGTAAATCCCTGATCCAAGGAATTCCCTACTCCCAGATATCCCTGATCCATCAAATCCCAAATCCCATAAATCCCTGATCCAGCATATTCCCTGATCCCCAAAGTCTTGGATCCAGCAGATTCCCTGATCCCACAAATCCCAGATCCCACAAACTCCAGATCCCACAAATCCCTGATCCAGGGGATTCCCTGCTCCCAGAAATCCCAAATCCAAGGGAACTGGGGACACTTGGGGACCCTCTTGGCATGGTCCGTTGGCAGGTCCCTGCTTGGAGAGGAGCTGGCTGTCCCCACAGGTCCCCTGTGTCCCAGGTGACACAGGGAGGGGGTGACAGGGAAGCCTCTCCTGGTGCCACCACGCTCCGCCCCATGTCCCCAACTCAAGGCCACCTCCCCTGGGGACACGGCTGTGACCGGGGCCTTTGTCACCTGCAGGCAGCAAGGGGAAGGGCACAGGAGTGCGCTTCACCCCCGAGGGGACCCAGGGCCACCACCAGGAGGGGACACAGGGCCACGTCCACTTCCAGGAGCAGCTGCACGACTCGGCCGTGATGGTGACACAGGACAAGGACGGCCACTTCCTGGTCAAGGTGGGGACAGGGGGACAACGGGGGGATGTCACCCTCCCCTGGGGACTCCGGGGCTCCCAACTCCCAAAAATTCCCGGATTCTGAGGCGTTGCCACCCCAGAATTCCGTGTCATTCCCTAGGGCTGCTCCCAACTCCGGATCGTCCCCCAGATCCAGCGCCACATTCAGGTGGCTTTGGGGACATGGGGGACATGTGGCACTGTCCCCTCTGCCTCGTTTTGGGGATGCTGGGGCCGCTCTGGATCCCAGCAGGGCCTTTCCCAGCTTTTCCCGGTGATCCCGGCCGCATTCCCGTGGGTGGCACCGCTCCCGGGTGGGGACAAGGAGCCACCCGCGGTGCCACCAACGTGTGGCACCTGCAGCTGCCACCAGCGCTGAGTCAGAGCCTCGTGGCCGGAATTCCATCCCAAATGCGGCGCTGGCTCCGGGGGCGGCCCTTGTTGTTTTCCCACCACATGATGAGGGGGTGGCAGTGCCACCCACGGGGACACGGGGACACGGGGAGGGGTCCCCGCTGGGGTTGGGATGTGCCTGGGAAAAGAAGATCCTCGTTGTTTTTCCAGGGTTTTTCAAGGGATAAATCCCAGAATGGGGGGGGGGGGAAAAAGAGCTTGGGGCTCATCCTGATTCCTTGGGCACTCCCAGGGATCCACAGAAAATTTGGGGATTTCAGCCCAGCCGGGAATTCCTTCCCAAAATCCCACCCCAAATGTCCCCATTCCGTGTGTCCTTGTCCCCAGTCCCTCTCCAGCTCTCCTGGAGCTCCTTCAGGCTCTGGAAGGTTCTCCCTGGATCCTTTTGCAGCTCTTTGGGATGATCCCAGCCCCTGGGGGGATTTTGGGATCCTGGCCCCGGATGTTTTTTCTCTCAGGGATCGTTCCCAGCTCGCTCCCTTCCCAAAATGGATTTTTCCAAGGCTCCGAAGGGCTCTGCTTTTTGTCATGACAGCGGAAAAATTCCATGGGAAGAGGCGCTCCTGCCTTTTCCAGGGACAGCTGGAAAACCTCTCCCTGCTCCTGTGACATCCACGGGTCCTTATTGCCAGAATTTTGTCCCAAAATTCCATATTTTTCCTGCCTTTTTTTTGGGGCAAAATCATCCTGTTTGTTACCTTTTCCTGATTTATTTCTGGAATTGTTCCTATTAGTTCCTAAATTATCTTCTGTTTGTTATTTCCTGCATTTTTTAGGGCACAAATCCCTTCCCCCCAAAGGGATTTAACAGAGGGAATGTTTAGGATTTTACAATTCCCCCTCTCCAGGTGCTGTCCCCACCTTCCTGGGGACTCTCCAGTGTCCCTTGTCCCCAAGGGGGGGGTGACAATGGCACCCCAGCCGTGGTGTCACCCCATATCCCGCTTTTCCAGGTGGGATTCCTGAAGATCCTACACAAGTACGAGATCACCTTCCTGCTGCCCCCCGTGCCGAGCCTGGGGAAGGACATTTGTCCCCTCCCTGTCCCCAACCCCAACCTGCGCATCATCAGTGTCACCTCCCTGCCAGAAGGTACCGTGTCCCCTCCTTGTCCCCAGCGTCCCCATCCTGTACCCGGCCCTTTTCCAAAGGGGGCACACCCAGGTGTCCCCTCAGTGTCTCGGGGAGGTGACAATTCCTTGTCCTCAGGCACATCTCTGATGTCCCCAAATTCCGTTATTTTGTTGTTGTTGGGATTTGCTGGGATTGTTTGTTTGTTGGGATTTTCCTTTCCTGGGGGTCTCTGTGGGTCAGGGGGCTCCCGACACAAGGGACAGGGACAAGGATTGCTCCAAGAGGTGCCACCCACCACTTTGGGGACAACTGGGGCTGAGATCAAGGCCAGAATCAGGACCGGGATTGGAGGCAGGAGCCGGGATCGGGACCAGGATTAAGGCCGGAATCAGGAGTGGGACAAGGACCAGGATCGGGAATGGGACCAGGATTGAGGCCAAGATTGGGACCAGGATTGGAGCTGGAATTGGGATTGGAGCTGGGATTGAGATTGGAGCCAGGATCGGGATTGGAGCTGGGATTAGGATTGGAGCCGGGATCGGGATTGGAGCTGGGATTGAGATTGGAGCCAGGATCGGGATTGGAGCCGCCCAAATTCCGTTATTTTGTTGTTGTTGGGATTTGCTGGGATTGTTTGTTTGTTGGGATTTTCCTTTCCTGGGGGTCTCTGTGGGTCAGGGGGCTCCCGACACAAGGGACAGGGACAAGGATTGCTTCAAGAGGTGCCACCCACCACTTTGGGGACAACTGGGGCTGAGATCAAGGCCAGAATCAGGACCGGGATTGGAGGCAGGAGCCGGGATCGGGACCAGGATTAAGGCCGGAATCAGGAGTGGGACAAGGACCAGGATCGGGAATGGGACCAGGATTGAGGCCAAGATTGGGACCAGGATTGGAGCTGGGATTGGGATTGGAGCTGGGATCGGAATTGGAGCCAGGATCAGGATTGGAGCTGGGATCGGGATTGGAGCTGGGATCAGGGCCAGGGCCTCTCTGGAGCAGGGAAAGGAGCCATGGGGAACCTGTGAGTGGCAGGGGGACAGGCAGGGCAGGGAGGGGACAGGGACAGGCAGGGCAGGGAGGGTTCAGGAAGGTGCAGGGAGGGGCACAGAGGGTAAGGAGGGCACAGGCAGCGTGAGGAAGGTGCAGGCAGGGTGAGGAGGGCACAGGCAGGGTGTGGAGGGCACAGGCTGGCACAGGCAGGGTGAGGAGGGCACAGGCAGGGTGTGGAGGGCTCAGGCTGGCACAGGCAGGGTGAGGAGGGCACAGGCTGGCATAGGCAGGGGGTGGAGGGCTCAGGCTGGCACAGGCAGGGTGAGGAGGGCACAGGCTGGCATAGGCAGGGGGTGGAGGGCTCAGGCTGGCACAGGCAGGGTGAGGAGGGCACAGGCTGGCATAGGCAGGGGGTGGAGGGCTCAGGCTGGCACAGGCAGGGTGAGGAGGGCACAGGCTGGCATAGGCAGGGGGTGGAGGGCTCAGGCTGGCACAGGCAGGGTGAGGAGGGCACAGGCTGGCATAGGCAGGGGGTGGAGGGCTCAGGCTGGCACAGGCAGGGTGAGGAGGGCACAGGCTGGCGGGAACCTGTGAGTGTCAGGGGGACAGGCAGGGCAGGGAGGGGACAGGGACAGGCAGGGCAGGGAGGGGACAGGGACAGGCAGGGCAGGGAGGGTTCAGGAAGGTGCAGGGAGGGGCACAGAGGGTAAGGAGGGCACAGGCAGCGTGAGGAAGGTGCAGGCAGGGTGACAAGGGCGCAGGCAGGGTGAGGAGGGCACAGGCAGGGTGAGGAGGGCTCAGGCTGGCACAGGCAGGGTGGGGAGGGCACAGGCAGCTCTCGGCAGCTCTCGGTGTCCCGCTGCCAGGGCACAGCGTGCGCTGCGAGTACATGGCGCACAAGGAGGGCGTGCTGAAGGAGGAGCTGCTCCTGGCCGGACACAGCCCCGGCCAAGTCAAGGTCACCGTCCAGGCCCGGGTCATGGGTAAGGGGCTCGGCTCTGGGGGGGTTCTGGGGTCCCTTCCTGTCCCGTCCCCCCGCCCCAGGCCACACTCTTCCCAGTTGTCCCAGTTCAGGCATGGCGCTGTCCCAGCTCCGGGGCACTGCTAAGGAATTGCCCAAAATAGGGGATTTCATCCCAAAAATTCCCTAGCCTGGGGGTTGAGGAGAGCCCTGGGTAGGGGTGAGGGGAGGTGGTGGGGGGTGACCCCAATGTCCCAGGGTTCCTGTGCCTGGCTGCATCCCCCCTTTGTCCCTGGGACCCTCCCCTTTTCCCTGGGATGTCCCCTGTCCCTGGGACCCCTTTGTCATCGGGACCCCCCAATCCCTGGGACCCTCCCTATAAACCCCAACACCCCCTTGCTCCCCGTGTTCCCCACCCCACATCCCAGCCACCCCCAGCCCCCTGAGGTTGTCACCACTCCTGGGCAGTGACCACAGCAGTGACACAAGGGACAACACATCCCCCACCCACCCAACCCCAGCATTGCTGCGGGCCTAAAACCCCCCCAAACCCCTTAAAAAGGGGCGTTCCCACCCCCCCACAAAGGGACAGCGAGCTGTCCCCGAGCCGTGTCCCCTGATGTCCCCAGACCGTCACCACGGGACTCCGATGCTCCTGGACGGGGTGCGCTGCGTGGGAGCCGAGCTGGAATACGACTCAGAGCAGAGCGAGTGGCACGGCTTCGACTGACCCCAAATCCCACCCCGGGGGACCCCAAAGTCCCCAAAGCACAGCACGGTCCCCAAAGCGGGCAGGAGGGACCCCGCTTGTTGCTGCTGCCGCTGCTTCGCCCTCACCCCGCAGCCCCGGGGGGGTTTTGGGGGAATTGTGCCTCTTGGGGTGGGAATTTTCCTCTTTTCTGGGGTGGGGGAGGAATTTTGCCTGTGGAATGTGGGGCAGGAGCGGGGGTCCCCCATGGCTTCAGGGTTGGGGCCATGTCCCCTGGCCGTGTCCTTGTGTTGCTGCCAGCGCCTCTTTTTTGGGGTTTTTTTCTGTTTTTCTCAGATTTTTTCCTGGTTTTTTTCTCTCTTTTCCTTTTTTTTTTTTTTTTTTTTTTCCTCATGGTACAAGGACCAGGAGCAGTTTCAGGAGGTTTTATGTGCCTACAAATATATATATATATATATATATAAATACAAAGATATCTTACATGCCTGTGGGGGGGTTAAAGTACAAAATCCCACCTTGGGAAGGATGAAAATCCCACTGGGAATGGGCTGGGAGCCCAGATCCTCTCCATGAACCTGCCCAGAGGGACAGGGGACACCCCTGGGTGGAGAATCCCCAAGAGTCCTGGATGGGGGATGGGGAGGGGTCATGAGGCCAATTCCAGTTAAAGCGGGGCTGGGACAGGGTGGGGACAGGACTGGGGTGCCCAGGATAAGGGGGGGTCTCAGTCTGGGAGGGAGTCGATGGTGCCAGGTCCTGGCATGGCCCCCACAGTGACAGGAGGTCTCAGCTGAGGTGGAAATCCATGGTGGCATCTCCAGGAAGGTCTCAATTGGTCAGGAAGTCCATGGTGGCAGGTCCCAGAGGTCCCCATTATGTTGGTGGGGTCTCAGCTGGAGATGAAGTTGATGGTGGCATCTCCCAAGGCCCCTCAGTTGGACAGGAAGTTGATGGTGGCAGGTGTGTCCCCACAATGACAGGGACTCTCAGTGGGACAGGATTCAGTGGTGGCAGATTCCAGGATGGCCTCAGTTGAAGATGAAGTCAGTGGTGGCATCTCCCAGTGGTCCCCACAATGGTAGTCCCAATGTCAGTTGGACAGGAAGTCAATGGTGGCATCTCCCAGGGGTGTCCCCACAATCACAGGGTCCCTCAGGTAGAGAGCAAGTCAAGGGTGGCAGGTCCTGGGGGTGTCCCCACAATGACAAAGGCATTGTGTCTCAGTTGGACAGGAAGTCCAAGGTGGCATTTCCAGGGCCCCTGAGTTGGACAGGAAGTTGATGGTAGCAGGTCCTGGGGTGTCCCCATGACGACAGACAGTCTCAGTTGGAGATTAATTCAATAATGGAGTCTCCAGGAAGGTCTCAGTTGGTCAGAAAGTCGATGGTGGCACATCCTGGGTAGTCTCAGTTGCACAGGAAGACAATGGTGGCATGTCCCAGGGTCCCCTCAATTGGACAGGAAGTTGATGTTGCCACATCACAGGGGCCTCTCAATTGGATGCAGCGCTGTCACCTTGATCTCGGTGTCCCCGAACTGCATGCTGGTGCGGATCTCGCGCCGGCCCCGCGCCGGGCCCACGTCCCCCGTGTCCCCCAGCTCCAGGCTGATGGTGCCGCACTTCCTGACGCCGGGGTCGGTGATGTACACCACGTCATCGGTGTCACAGCAGTAGATGTTGATGATGGTCCGGCGCTGGCCGGGCCGGGCCGGGCAGTAGCTCCGCTGGACCACCTCGCCCAACGCCACCGACTGGTCCACGGTCACGAACTTCTCGAAGATGTCGGTGCACCAGTTCTTGCCCTCCTTGACCAGCAGCTTCTCCCGCGGGTGCTTGCCCTCCACAAACTTGTTGAGGACGCCCACGCCGTAGGTGAGCGGGGAGCGGCGCACCCGCACCACGCCGGGGTCCAGGCCGAAGAGCACGGCCCCTTTGAGGATGGTCAGCCCCACGTCCTGCGGGACGATGACCCGGCAGCAGTGGCCGAAGGCGGCCTGCACCGCCCGCTGCAGCATGGCCGACTCGGCGAAGCCGCCCACCAGGAACAGGAATTTGATGCCGTGGACCTCGGGTTTCTTCAGGAGGGTGTCTGGAGTGGGGATAAAAGGGGAGGTTTGGGGCTGGGATGGTGGAGAAGGGGTGTGGGGAAGGGGTGGGGGTGATGAGGTGCCGGGGATGAGGGGAGTCCAGGAATGGGGGCAGTTCCAGGGATGGAATGGGGCTGAGGGACAGGGAGGGTCCCAGGGACAAGGAGGGTTCCAGGGACAGGAAGGGTTTTAGGGATAAAAGGTTTCCAGGGTCAATAGGAGTTCCAGGGACAAAAGGTTTCCAGGGACAATGGGGGTTTCAGGGACAAGGGCTGGTCCTAGGGACAATGGGGATTCCAGGGATATAAGGTTCCCAGGGACAATGAGGATTCCAGGGACAAGGAATGGGGGATCCAGGAATGGGGGATCCCAGGGACAAAAGGTGTTCCAGGGACAGGAGCAGGGTCACAGGGACAAAGGGGATCCCAGGGTGTGGGATTGTCCCAAGGATGGGGGGGATCTCTCAGGCACAGGATGGTCCCAAGGGTGGGAGACTCAGAGGGACAGGGATGGTCCCAGGGACAGGAATGATTCCAGGCATGAAGGGGCTCCCAGGAATGGGGGGCATCCCCCAGGGATGGGAATGATCCCAGGAATGGGGAGCTCCCAGTAACAGGGAAGATCCCAGGGAGAGAGGGTGGGACAGGGACAGGAACCATCCAGGTTCCCCATGGATGGGCATGTCCCCAGTACCCACCGATGTGCTGGATGATGTGGGTGATGGTTGGCTGGAACAGCTCGTTCATGGCCTCGGGGGACATCCGCAGCATCCCTTGGGACGACCACTTCACCAGGTTGACACTGGGGACAGACAGGGGACCCGGGGGTGACTGGGAACTCCCACCTGGTCCTTCCCTGTCCTCTCCCCCCCCACCCTATCCCACTTTTCCTCCCTCTCATGCCCTCTCCCACTCCAGTGTCACTCCCACCATGTCCCCATGATCCCGAGATGTCCCCAACCCGCATCACCCCTCACTTGCTCTTGCGGAGTGCGGTCTCCACGTTGTGGCCGCGGTGTTTGCGGTAGAAGTCGATGAAGGAGAAGGGCAGGGAGATGTTGAGGGGGCTGGAGCGGCTCGGGGCGGCCGCGCGCTTCCGCGCCTCAAAGGCGATGGTCAGGTCCACCCAGGCCGCCGGACGCTTGGCCTTGAAGGTGGCAATGAAATCGTCCCCGAAGATGTGGCACAGAAGCTTCTCAAAGGCCAGGTCCACGCCCACAGCCCCATAGGGACCTCCTGAGGGACAAGGGTGGGATCAGGACGTGGCCCCATGGTTGCCGTGTCCCCACGGCAGCCATGCCCCCCATCACCATGTTCTCCCACATCTCCATGTCTGTATGTCCCCTAGACTCCCATGTCCCCATGTCCGCCATCCCCATGTCTCCACGTCTCCTATGTCCCCCCTCCTCATGTCCTCATGTCCCACTTCACCGTGTCCCCCCTATCCTCCATGTCCCCATGTCCTCCATATCCTCCATGTCCTTCATCCCCACGTCCTTATCTCCCCCATGTCCCCCAGGTCCCCCAGGTCCCCCATCCCCACGTCCCTGTGTCACCCACATCTCCATGTCCCATTCCCCATATCCCGAGGTCCCCACACATCCCTGTGGCACCCCTATCACCATGTCCCCATGTGTCCCATCCCAGTGTCCTGGTGATATCCATGTCCCCATGTCCCCCACACACCCCTGTCCCTCCATCCCAGCCCCTTGTCCCTCTGTCCCCCCTCATCCACCCTCTCCATCTTCCCTGCCCCACCTTGCCCCCCTAATCCACCCCTGTCCCTCCTTGTCCCCCCAGTCCATCCCTTCCCTCTGTCCCCTCTCTGTCCCCCCGCGGTCCCCCTGCACTTCCCCCCGCCGCCACCAGGTGGCGCCACAGCCCCACCCACGACCCTTTGGTCGTGGGATTTGGGGTCCCAGTCCGGGTTTGGGGGTCCCAGCCGGGGTTTGGGGTCACAGCCCGGATTTGGGGTCCCAGCCCGGGTTTGGGGTCCCAGTCCGGATTTGGGGTCCCAGCCCGGGTTTGGGGTCCCAGTCCGGATTTGGGGTCCCAGCCCGGGTTTGGGGTCCCAGCCCGGATTTGAGGTCCCAGCCTAGTTTTGGGGTCCCGGGAGGATCCCGGAGCGGGGGAAGAAAGGATGAACAGGGATTTTCATCCCACCCGAGGCTTTGTAGAGCTCCTTCAGCGTCCCCTGCGGCTTCTCGATCTGGTGCACGGTCAAATCCACCGTGCCCCCGCCACAATCGGCCACGATGTACCTGTCACCTGCGGGGGGGACAGCGACAGGGTGGCGGTCCTGAGTGACCCCCCGCCACACCCACGCACGGGGTGGCAGCAGCCGCGGGGACACAGCGCTGCGTTTTCCCGGGGAAAAGGAAATTTTAACCAAAATATTGGGAATTGGGGTGGGTGGAGAGACGAAGGGATGGGGTGGTGGCAGGGAGACCCCGCCCCTTCCGTGCGGTCAAGGGACAAACCCCAACCGTGTCACCCCCATGGCAGAAGCACCCTTGGGTGCTTGGGGGTGGCTCTGCCACGAAGGGGACATCCAGGAGGACCCCGGGATCTGGGAATCTACAGTGGGGACCCCCACCCGTGTCCCCCCCTCGTACCTGCCTGCATCTCCGACCAGAGCTCGCCCACTCCCGACTCCACCAGGAAGGTGCGGCTGTGCCGGGATCGCCGGAGCTGCTCCCGGGCTGGGGGACAGAGCCGGGGGTCGGCAGCGGGGTCAGGATCCCCCCCATATCCATGGGATCCACCCCACCTCAATGGGATCCACCCCCTTACCCAGGATCCGCCCCATTCCCGCTGTGGGGTCCGTACTGGGAGCACTGGGGTCCCAGTGGACTGGGGACCTCTCCCCCCCAGCCAGGACCCCAATGTGACCCAGTTCCACCATGGACGGGCTGATCCAGCTCTCCCTGCTGCGATCCCAAAGGATCCCACCGGCTCCCATGGGATCTCCCTGTGCCCACCCTGGGCGATGCCACCTCCGGCCCGCACCCCACAGCCCGGGTGGGGTTTCCTCTGCTCCCCCCGCCCCAGGGACATCAAAGCTGCCCGGAAGGGCCGGGATGAGTTGGGAAAGGTGGGGTTGTCCCAGGATATTTTTGGCACAGGGATAATTCCTCATCCTTGGGGTCAGCTTGAGCAACCCTATAAATCCCCCATGGGACCCCAAATCTCCATCTGGGATTGCCACCAGCGCGTCCCAGTTCCGGGGCTTGGTCCCTGCTGGGCAAACTGGGGCTGTCCCAGTAAAGCCCAGGATCCCACCCATGGTGGGACTGTCCCTGGATGTGGCCCAGGCACACTGGGGGGGTGGCCAAGGTGGCCAGAGGGGGACACAGCTTGGAGGCTTATGGCAAAGCAGG